TTAAGTTTTAATTGCATTCATAATAAGAGATGTGAAAAAAAAAAAAAATTGCTTCCCTTGAAATCAAATTTAGTGGTATTTACTTACGTTTAATGAGGAAAAAAAAACTAATTGAATTTGAAGACTATTATTTATCAAACATCCAAAATTATTTACTTTCTTTACAATCATAAACAATAGCGATTTCCTACCCCATTGTGTGTATAGATAGACCTGATTAGATAAGACAACTGACCCACGAAACTAGTGTAGACCTAGTGACACTGAACATAGTTAAGAATAAAGTGCAACAATTTCTGCTAGGTAAAAACAAAGTCCATTTTTTTTTACAAATGTGTATTTCATTACCCTAATTTTTACCAAAAAATTATCCACGAGTACATGGCATCGCCTTATAAACTATTAAAATTGTAAATTTGCACCGTAATGATTAACCAGATTGTTCGATTGTTGTTCGTACGTGGGGCCTCTACACGTTGTTGGGACTGTTTCTGATTGAGATCCACAGGTCCGGGTGTGTGTTTGATGTCCAAGTTTTTCACAGGATTGCCCAATTTTCACGCTTTTAAATCCAGCTAATTAAACGGACCTAATTATTAGAAAGACCCGTATATACAACGCTGTTTGACGATTTGTGTCAACAAAAACTATACGCAGTCCAGCAGTCCACCACACTGAGTCATTTATCTCCCGTGGTTTCTTGTCCCAGATCATAAAGGATTATGTGTTCAATGGTTCATCAGCCCTCGGATGTTAAACAATGCTACATTAGCAATTTTATTTGACCAGTAGAATAAAGAATTGTTTGTACCATTCGTATGTGTTTAAAGTGTGTACAGTATTATCTCACATAAAAGACACACCTAATTATGAGACTCGGGTTTTGACTGCACACTGCAGCATCGTTTATTGGTCAGAAAGGGGTGATCAGTCAGGATAGTAGAGTTTAAAGAGATGTGTTTTGAGTGCAGTTTTAAAGGCTGTGATTGTGGAAATATAACTTGATAAAACTGAAATTTAAAGTATGAAGGCCTAAATGACATCGTCCATAGTTAACATTTCTCTTGATACTACTAACATCTAGTGTGTGTAGTCTTAAATGGCATAGGTTATGGTGGTCATGTCATTTGATACAAACCGACAGCGAGAGTGTGTAGGGCTAAACGAATCGAACATTTTTATCATGTCAGGGAGAGTATGTAGGCCTAAATGGCATTAACTATATAGGTCATGTCACTTAATACAACCGACATGGAGAAAGTTAGGGCCTAAATAACTAAATAACATGTTGGTTGTGTCACTTGATAAAACTGACAGAGATAGTGTGTAGGCCTACATGTCACTGGCCAATGTCAACACGTCATTTGATACAATAGGACGCTAGAAGTTGTAAGCTTCATGACATCGGTCATAGGGTTATGTCGATCGATACAACTGACCACTAGATGTGGTAGGTTTCATGACATCGGTTATGTCAATCGATATAACTGACCACTAGAGGTTGTTAGCTGCATGACATCGGTCACAGTGTTATGTCAGTCGATACAACTGACCACTAGATGTTGTAGGCTGCATGACTTCGGACGTATTGTTATGTTAGTCGATACAACTGACAATTAGATGTTGTAGGCTGCATGACATCGGTTATGCCAGTCGATACAACTGACCACTAGATGTATAGGCTGCATGATATCGTTTATGTCAGTCGATACAACTGACCACTAGATGTTGTAGGCTGCATGACTTCGGACGTATTGTTATGTTGATCGATACAACTGACAATTAGATGTTGTAGGCTGCATGACATCGGAAATATTGTAATGTCAGTCGATAAAACTGACCACTAGATGTTGTGGGCTGCATAACTTCGGACATATTCTCTAGTCTGTGCTCTTGTTCTCTCTCGTCTTGACTATTGCAACTCCCTTCTTTCAGGTTCACCAACACACTGCATAGAAAACTGCAGAAATTTCAAAACTCAGCTGCTAGGCTAGTTTTAAAGGCAAAAAAACGTGATCACGTCACTCCACTACTCCACTCACTACATTGGCTCCCTATACAGGCACGCATCGACTACAAGTTGTCTGTTCTCTGTCACAACTTTTTCTTGGATTCCTGCCCTTCATATCTAAACGAACTTCTTTCTGTCTATTCACCCCTTCGACAGCTTCGCTCCTCTGCAGACACGCGTATTCTGTCCGTTCCCAAGACACACTAAAACATATGGTGAACGATCTTTCTCTTTCTGCGCCCCCAGACAATTGAATTCTTTGCCACTAAACATACGCAACATATCAACCACCCAGGCCTTCAAAACTGCACTAAAAGCATATATTTTTTAAATTATACTACCCCGACTGATTCCACTCCTCTGACTGATAAACGATCTTGCTGGCTGCCGTCCATGGTTTGTCTTGTAAAAGTTATGTGGTGGGGTGGGTGATATACATTGCTGTTCTTTATTTCATAAATGTATTTTATTTTAATGTCATGATTATGTCTCTTTTGATAATATTTTTATGTACAGCGCGGTGAGCCCAGCCCTAGGCTGGGGTACCGCGCTATATAAGACGTCTTATTATTATTATTATTTTTATGTCAGTCAAACAATATGGCTGTATAGAAATGTTTTCAAACAAGATGGCTGTATAGAAATGTTTTCAAACAAGATGGCTGTATAGAAATGTTTTCAAACAAGATGGCTGTATAGAAATGTTTTCTGACACGTTTTTTTTTTATGACATGTCATACTATTTTATTAACAAAAAATGAAATAAATCATTAAAAGACTGAAGAAATCCAAGCTAAAATGAATGTGCAATGAAGTGTCCTTAAGAAGTGTCACTCTGTAAATGAGCAACAACGTGTAAGTAGTTTCATTCTATGAATGAACAACTATGTGTAAGTAGGGTCTTGCTATGAATGAGCAATAAAGTATAATTATTGGCTTTCTATGACGTACTTATGTTAAAGCAAATTACCATCTTTGGTTGCCCAGAGCAGTTTTCATTTTGGTCATGTCAGGCAGTCATTGCTGTCGTTATAAAAATTAATGAAATCTCTCGTGCTGGAAAGCTTTCCGCTTTTATATAACCTGCATTTAAGCTGTACAGACAGGCTACAGTCGGCTAGACAGTGTTGATTAAAGACTGGACGCTGTAAGGCTGAACATTGTACAAATCTTTCAGGAGACTAGATAGAGCAAACAGTTTACTGTAGACGAGACCTCCTCAGCAGCTTACATTAGATTAGACAGTCTTAAGAGGTTACAGTAGACTACATTCTAAACAGCTTACATTAGACTACACAGTCTAAATAGCTTTCAGTAGTCTAGTCAGGTTAAACAGCGATCAGCAGACTAGACAGTCTAAACAGTTTACAATAGAATAGACAGTCTAAACAGCTTGCAACAGACTAGGCAATCTAAACAGATTACGCTAAACTAAATTGCGTGAGCAGCTTACATTGAGTCTCTGTGCAAGCATTGTATTCTAAGCGATAAAGAGGATCGCCATGATATTAAGTTAAATTGAACTGTCAATCGCTTCCTTACCTTACACAATTCGTTCAGCATTTAAATTAAATGACGATGGTTCTAAAATTAATTACATTGTGTATATACGTAACGTTTCTAAGTCAAGGAAACATAGAGTTATGATTTTTAGATTCAATTTTATACTTTTATCAATTTCTACCTTAGCAATAATTGACCTCATAAATCTGTATTTTGTTCAAAAATGCCATGCCTGCTCAGTCAAGAGAGAAGATCGCCAATCAATTATTGATCAAGCTAATTGTAAGTAAAAGAAACCATTATTTTGAAGCAGCTCTAATTATTTACTTAATTTAAAATATTGAAGAAGAAAGTTAGGAAATTAATCGTAACTTTTTTCTCTACAGGTTCATCTTTGTATTGACTTTCATCCTATCAACATTTCTCTTCATGTATGTGAATGGAGCTTTATTGAAATTTATTTTTGTTTTGATTACACACGTGACAGTTTTAGATCTCTCGTGCGGTGTACACGTGCAGTGATCACGTGGTAAACGGCTGGATGACGGAGGTCAGTGTTGACCATGTCGTTAATAATCTCATGGCTGACAGCGTCTACCTTGCTTATTGGGAGGGTGATCTCAGATCTACTGTTAAGTTTTATGCCTAAGTAAAGAATACTTTTAGAATATCTTGAAATGCTTTACACGAAGTTAGCCAGTAGGGACAAAATAATATATATATATAAAAACATAATAATGTATTGTTGTAACGATGTGTTCATTTGTTAATTGAATGCATGTTTGATTTTTTTTAGATACTATTCTTACTATCACTGATTAAACTCAAGGCATTTTCATAATAATTATATATATAAGAAAGAGCTAGGTTCACATAACGTCAAAAGGGAGAACTTTTTAAGTACGTTCGGATTCCTAAAAACAATCATAGTTATGTTCTATTATTTTACGGAAATCGAATAGATTTAAATGTCATCAATAAACATTAATCGAAAATACTTAAGTAACTAACATTAGTACAGACGAGAGTTGCCTCACAACACTCTAAGTAGCCTTTATTTGCTTTTATATAACACATGTACAGATGTCCAATTATTTCTACCTTATGAAATAAGCGTGCCCTTTCATTTTTCCACTGGGGTTCCTGTGATAAAATCCCAGCTCAAAATACGTCACAGAGTCAAAAGTTGGGAAAGAGAGTTCAATAACTCATCAAACTCTCCAACACACACCGTGTGTACAGAAACATAATAAGTAATTAACCAGTGGATGAGAAATTCTAGCAATGCCTCTCCCCCAGTTTCTGTCCTGTACAATACAAATGTTATAAGAACACGAGAACCGTTCTGGGATTGTTTGGTTTTCATTATGTCTTACAACAAGATTAAGTTACATGATATCCTATTTTATAAAAAATAAGTTAATGCTTTTCTGTCTTGCTTTACTAGGGCTACACTGGGCTACACTGGGCTGACTGACATCCAATTATTGCAAACGTGAGACTACACCAGGCTCACATACAACAACTTACCTGACTCCCTTGCAGGTAACTTAAACTCGACAACGTTCAGTATGTACATTGTGTGTATATGTTTATTATGTACGCTAAATATACATATATATATATAACGTACTGCAAGCCATGACACTATTTAAAATAACATTTTAAAAAATATTTAATTGTTTAACATAAATTATAATCCCGACAATTAAGCAAGTGTGTTTATTAATATACTTAAACTGTCGTATTTTAAGTCAGTACATGTGTTAACAAATGTAATTTCACTCTCGTTTCGTAGGCCCGTACGTATGTTTATTAATGTACTTAAACTCTCGTATCTTGAGCAAGTACGTGAATTAATAAATGCACTTACAATCTCGTTTCTTAGACATGTACGTGTGTTTATTAATAAACTTACATTTTTTTTAGGCACTTCTGTGTGTTTATAAATGTACTTACTCTCTCGAATCTTAAGCAAGTACGTGTGTTTATAATGTACGTACACTCTTGTTTCCTTGAAATGTACGTGAGTTTATTAACTTACACTCTCGTATTGTAAGCATGTACGTGTGTTTAATAATATTTTTATTCTCTCGTTTCTTAAGCAAGTACGTGTGTTAATTAATTTAATTACAATATCGTTTTAGGCACGTATGTGTGTTTATTAATACACTTACACTATCAATTTTTAGGCATGTAAATGTATTTATACATGTAATTACACTCTCTTTTCTTAAGCAAGTACGTGTGTTTATTAATGGATTTACTTTCGCTTATCTTAGTGTCCACGTGTGCTTGTCGCTGTCGTTACATTCCTATATCTTAGCACATACCTATGTCTGTCACTGTCGTTATATTACCATATGTTAGTACATACCTATGTATGTCACTGTCGTTGCATTTCCATATCTTAGCACGTACCTATGTGTGTCGCTGTCTTTACATTCCCATATCTTAGCACGTACCTATGTATGTCACTGTCTTTACATTCCCATATCTTATCACGTACCTATGTATGTCGCTGTCTTTACATTCCCATATCTTAGCACGTACCTATGTATGTCGCTGTCCTTACATTCCCATATCTTAGCACGTACCTATGTTTGTCACTGTCGTTACATTCCCATATCTTAGCACGTACCTATGTATGTTGCTGTCTTTACATTCCCATATTGTCACGTCTATCTTCACTTACAGTGCACACAGATCACACAATGCTAATTACTAACTATATATCTATCAACAACTGAGGCGTTGTAGAGTTCAGTGAAAGATAGTGATTATCAGTTATTATTAATACACACTCACGAATAAGCAATTATAATCACAAATAGTGAATACTTATCACAATCATAACCTAGTCCTTATCTTATCAACTAATTAAAATATTGTGGAGAGTTCGGACCGCGCCTGACGTAATCTGTCTGACCACCCAAGCTTGTGACCACGCACGAGCGCCGGACCACGACGGCGCCTGACGTAATCCGTCTGACCGAAGGATCAAGCTTGTGGAGCACGACGGACCCAAGGATCAAACGCCTGACCAATTACGGCCGTCTGACACCCAGACACGACCATCCATCTGACCAGGGCATTTACCTGGGACGTCTAGACCGACCGAGAAAAGGGGCGGGGCAAGTACAGACCCAGGGACCTATAAATAGGGACGAGGGGGAGCACGGCCGGATGGTTAGAAAAGGGAAAGCGGCCGGACTGAGAACTAGATAGCAGGGAGAAGTCAGAGCTGTGAGATGAATGAAAGTGTAAGCAAGTGACAGAGCCAATAAAGAACACGAGTTTACTCATCAAATGTATCACCGGAGTTGTTTCCTTATTGAGTACCAGATCTAGATGAAGTTTGTCAGAGAGTAAGCAAGGTCCCTTACAATGGTGGCAGCGGTGGGATATTAACCTTGCAACGACTCTGAAGAGACAAAATTCTTGGATAGCCGGACTGAGATGAGAAGTGCAAGGTGTGGAAAATCTATGGCAAGCACAATGACTTCTCAGTATTTAAACAACATCCCAACGTACAGTGGAACCTCTACATGGCACACCTTTATCGTGCATTTTGAAACAGCTGCAAAAATCTTCAAGTGGAGTGAGGAAGAGAAACTCCTTTATTTGGGGTTTGTTTTGAAGGATTCGGCGGCTGAATTCGCTTACAGTGAATTAAGTGAAGAAGAGCGAGAGACGTACGAGAAACTTAAAGAGGCCCTCGCCAATCGGTTCCAGGATCATAGGACACCAGCTTTCTTCCAGAATCTGTTGGAAAAACGTACGTTCCTAAGAACAGAAACCAGTGCTGAGTACGCTACCGACATCAAGAAACTGGTGGCGAAAAGTTTTCCACCGGCAGACCAGGCCACACGAGATGCCATTGGTTTTAGGCAGTTTTTACGTGGGCTACAGGATCCTTCAATGATCACACATGTTGGCACTATGGCCGTTCCTCCCACCGTGGACAAGGCGAGAGCTGCCTTGGATACAATCTTAAATCTGAGGGACAGCGTTTGTTTACCAACACAGCAAGTAGCATCAATGGCTACCGACAATTTGGCCAGAGAGGTTAGCAGCCTGAGAGAGGACCTTAGGAAATTCATGGCCTCACAGCGAGGGGCAGTTACTCATTCGGCACGTGAAGGTAATCGGAGGGCGGAACTCAGATGCTTTGGGTGTGACCAAATCGGTCATATTTCACGGAATTGCCCAAAACAAGAGACCATTAGGACGAAATCTTCGTCGTTAAAACTAAATCACATCTCATCGAAGTCAAATGTTCACAACCTTCGTCCTAATTTTGTGTTTGTGCCTGTGAAAGTGTGCGGCGTTAGGACAGATTTCCTCATGGACACTGGAGCGGCCGTGACAATTTTGTCCAAGAGAGCTTTTAATAGAATGCAGCAGAGACCGAAGTTGAATACCCACCTCGTCCCATTACATCTACAGTCAGCCAGTGGTACGTCTATAAAACTCCATGGAGTCTGCGACCTAGACTTGCTTATTGGAGAGAAGATTTATCCATGGACGGTGCATATCGCAGACATAACCGACGATGGTTATCTAGGATTCGATTTCCTATGTCACTATGACTTTTCATTTTCAATCAAAAGGGGTCTCAACCTACATAGAGACAAGGTGCCAGTAATAACAAAATGTGTAAATTCAGTGACTCAACAGGACCAGTCTTATTCGTTGGTAGAAAACGGTGAGCTCAATGAGGAAGAGGACATCATTCCATTATCCACCACTAGTAACCAGTTGCCAGCAGCAGCTGTTGTGAAAATCAACATGGTGACGACTCGCAGAAAAACGTATCCTCCCGTGAACCCACCTAAGCCCTCGCCCGGAGGAGCAACCACAAGTGATACTGGTCGAGCAAACTGCCCTGTGGACACGCCCCTCGTACCAAGCCAACCTATCCAATTACCTTGCCCTGAGTCGACATCAAACAGAAATGATCGGAATGCTGACCAAGAGCCGGTTGCAGTGTTATGTGCAGACAATAGTGACTATAAATTCTGTGAAGGGTTAGACATATCCAAGGAAGATCTGAGAAGATTACAACAGGAAGATAATGACTTGAGTCATGTTTTTAAGTGGGTCAAGGACAAAACAAAACCAAAAAGAGAGGAAATTAGTGGAGAATCGCCGGCTGTTAGGAACCTTTGGTTAAACCTTGATTTACTTATTGTTGTGGATGGAGTTTTATGTAAACGATGGTTTCATCCGGGTCGGAAGGATGAAATATTGAAAATTATGTTGCCTAGATCTCTTGTGAGCACAGTGTTAAAAAAAATGCACTCGTCAGTTTATGCTGGCCATCTCGGCATAAATAAGGTATTGGATAATGTCAGGACATACTACAGTTGGTACAGAATGAAAAGGGATGTTCAAACGTTCATCACCAACTGTGCCACATGTCAGCACATCAAACGCCCCCAAGCCAACAGTTCAGCCAGGAAACATCTTAAGACAGCCCAGCGTCAGAAAAGGGACCACGATACTCGGGCAGTACAACATAGCTTCAACGTGGGGGACGTGGTTCTCTATTTGGACTTAACCAAACAGGTGGGTGGAAATCCAAAATTGAACCCAAATAAATGGCGCGGACCATCAGTTGTCAGTCGAAAATTTAGTGATGTGTTATTTGAAATTCGAGGAGAGGGAAAGACGAGGGCAAGAATAATTCATCACGACCGATTGAAACCCTATTATGACAATAATCCCCCCCGACTGGATTTTAAAGTTACAAACAATTTGCCTGAGAGACAACTTGATGGGAGCTACTCCGGAGCTTCCACGCGTTCTGCAAGAAGCTTAGAGTGAAGACATTTTGGACACCTAGATTGTAGGGAATGACATGCAAATATTTTTTTTGGGAAGATGTAAAGTTAACTAATGTTGTGTTAATTTATCTCGAGACATATGAACTCCAGAGTTGAATCGGTAACATAATGTGTATAACATGTAATAATTATGACATGATTATTGTTATTTCGAGTTGAAGTTTTTTTTCTTGTGTATAACTNTATTTTCATGCATATTGTTTACTGTGATACTTGATTGCTGTTTGATTTTGTTTTCTCTAAATGTTGTATTATTCATTGTTAGTTGAACGCTGTTAGATCAAAATTGTCTGATTGTGGTGAATGTATTAGGTGCTCTGACTGACTCAAAAATGACTCTGACCTTAACCACAACTGTTTAGGAGACCACGTTTGAGGGTCCGTTGAATTCAATAGTCGTAGTCGAAGGTAGGACGACGGGTAGGATTGTTTTACACAAGGAGACGTATTAGAACCAAAGCGAATGACGTCATGTGTATTACTGTGAGCTGTTTGTAAATGAATGCTGAAGGTCCAAGTCACTTGAAGCCATTTAGAAACCAATCATAAGAAATTTTAACGGGGATGTTGTGTAATGTCGGGACGACATTGTTTTGTAAGATGGGGGTAGTGTGGAGAGTTCGGACCACGACGGCGCCTGACGTAATCCGTCTGACCGAAGGATCAAGCTTGTGGAGCACGACGGACCCAAGGATCAAACGCCTGACCAATTACGGCCGTCTGACACCCAGACACGACCATCCATCTGACCAGGGCATTTACCTGGGACGTCTAGACCGACCGAGAAAAGGGGCGGGGCAAGTACAGACCCAGGGACCTATAAATAGGGACGAGGGGGAGCGCGGCCGGATGGTTAGAAAAGGGAAAGCGGCCGGACTGAGAACTAGATAGCAGGGAGAAGTCAGAGCTGTGAGATGAATGAAAGTGTAAGCAAGTGACAGAGCCAATAAAAAACACGAGTTTACTCATCAAATTTATCACCGGAGTTGTTTCCTTATTGAGTACCAGATCTAGATGAAGTCAGAGAGTAAGCAAGGTCCCTTACAATATTAATAGCATGGACTTATACTTATAACAACCGCCATCATTCCATTCTCTCTTCTCTTCTGTGATTGGTCCGTCTTCCCAAGTTCCTTACTTTATAAATTATAAATCCTAATTTTCACCTCTCTTAACTCCTTTAACTCAACTTATCTCTGTGACACATATCTTAGCACATACCTATGTTTGTCACTGTCGTTAAATTCCAATATCTTAGCATGTACCTATGTATGTCGCTGTCGTTACATTCCCATATCTTATCACGTACCTATGTTTGTCACTGTCTTTACATTCCCATATCTTATCACGTACCTATGTTTGTCACTGTCCTTACATTCCCATATCTTAGCACATACCTATGTATCTCACTGTCGTTACATTCCCATATCTTCGCACATACCTATGTATGTCGCTGTCGTTACATTCCCATATCTTATCACGTACCTATGTATGTAGCTGTCGTTACATTCCCATATCTTATCACGTACCTATGTATGTCGCTGTCTTTACATTCCCATATCTTAGCACGTACCTATGTATGTCAGTGTCTTTACATTCCCATATCTTAGCACATACCTATGTTTGTCACTGTCGTTATATTCCCATATCTTAGCATTTACCTATGTATGTCACTGTCGTTACATTCCCATATCTTATCACGTACCTATGTATGTCGCTGTCGTTACATTCCCATATCTTATCACGTACCTATGTATGTAGCTGTCGTTACATTCCCATATCTTATCACGTACCTATGTTTGTCACTGTCGTTACATTCCTATATCTTATCACGTACCTATGTTTGTCACTGTCGTTACATTCCCATATCTTAGCATTTACCTATGTATGTCGCTGTCTTTACATTCCCATATCTTAGCACGTACCTATGTATGTCAGTGTCTTTACATTCCCATATCTTAGCACATACCTATGTTTGTCACTGTCGTTATATTCCCATATCTTAGCATTTACCTATGTATGTCACTGTCGTTAAATTCCCATATCTTATCACGTACCTATGTATGTCAGTGTCTTTACATTCCCATATCTTAGCACATACCTATGTTTGTCACTGTCGTTATATTCCCATATCTTAGCATTTACCTATGTATGTCAGTGTCTTTACATTCCCATATCTTAGCACATACCTATGTTTGTCACTGTCGTTACATTCCCATATCTTAGCACGTACCTATGTATGTTGCTGTCTTTACATTCCCATATTGTCACGTCTATCTTCACTTACAGTGCACACAGATCACACAATGCTAATTACTAACTATATATCTATCAACAACAGAGGCGTTGTAGATTTCAGTGAAAGATAGTGACTATCATTTATTTTTAATACACACTCACGAATAAGCAATTATAATCACAAATAGAGAATACTTATCACAATCATAACCTATTCATTATCTTATCAACTAATTAATATATTAATAGCATGGACTTATACTTATAACAACCGCCATCATTTCATTCTCTCTTCTCTTCTGTGATTGGTCCGTCTTCCCAAGTTCCATACTTTATAAATTATAAATCCTAATTTTCACCTCTCTTAACTCCTTTAACTCAACTTATCTCTGTGACACATATCTTAGCACATACCTATGTTTGTCACTGTCGTTACATTCCCATATCTTAGCATGTACCTATGTATGTCGCTGTCGTTACATTCCCATATCTTATCACGTACCTATGTTTGTCACTGTCTTTACATTCCCATATCTTAGCACATACTTATGTATCTCACTGTCGCTACATTCCCATATCTTATCACAGCCCTGTGTTTGTCATTGTTGGATGGTGGCAGTCACAACATGTTTTTATTAGTTAAAAGTAAAATACTTTGGACATTTTGTTTTGAAAACTGGTTTCTGCATGGAGGAAAAATGTTTTAATAGTAAAGAACTATTGAACAAAAATATTGGCTCAAAGGATTAAAGAATTATGTTAAAGCACAGCAATAATATTTAACAAACTATCGACACAATATTTGACTTACTTTGCGACATCTATTTTAATCTCTTGGAACTAGTCCACAATATTCGCAGTTTGTGATCAGCTTAGAAGGCCGGTCCCGTAGAGGGCGTTCGTCTTGTCCACTCCTGAAAAGATTTACTTCTGGCTTCCATCATGATCCTACTGTTTTCTTGACCACGTCTTGGGAATGTTGCATCTCGGCAGTCAATGCGCTTGGCCAGCTCCAAATTCATAGTAATACATAAAATTGACTCAGTTGTTTTCACCACGTCACTTGAATTATCTTGACCGTTAGTCAGTTCTTATCACTTATTAACATCTGTTGTCAATCTTTGTGGGAATGGTCCTTGCACGAAGGCTCGCAATGTTGAATTGCCGACCTTCAGACCTGATATAGACATACATTTTGTCTTCATAATCTCTAAAAGCTACCTAATGGGCATTATATATTAACCAGTACTTCTTCAAAATGTGTCTCTCAACGGAGAAAAAGCTGGGTACAACCTTGCCTCGCCATATAGTCAGCTCTATCTTTTTGTGGGTTATTTCGAGTCTCCAGGGATCCACTGAATGACCACTTTGTTTTCATGTCACGTGTATGTCTCGTATGAGCCCATATTGGCTCCATATACGTTTCAAATGTATGAAATTTGGCTGCATTTTTTCTTACTTTTTGGGATTCGACTGCTTATCCCTGTGCGGGACTAAATGAGGTGGGAAGAAGTCATCGGGTCGTGATCTCTATTGAATCATATGCAATTTTCCCCAGTTTCATGCTAGGTAGGCTACTCTCCCATAAGTAGACTGCATCCATAAAGGAAGGACTTTAAGTCTAGTCCTCTTTGCGCAGTGATTTTGAAAAAGGGTTTGGTCTTTCCATTCGACAGTAACGCTCCACTGGTCGTTAAGATGGCTTTGTCCCTCTTGATGTTGAGTGGCTCCACTGGTCGTTAAGATGGCTTTGTCCCTCTCGATGTTGAGTGGCTCTATTGGTCATTAAGATGGCTTTGTCCCTCCTGATGTTGAGTGGCTCTATTGGTCGTTAAGATGGCTTCGTCCCTCTTGATGTTGATTGGCTCCACTGGTCGTTAAAATGGCTTTGTCCCTCTTAATGGTTAGTGGCTCGACTGGTCGTTAAGATGGCTTTGTCCATCTCGATGTTGAGTGGCTCTATTGGTCCTTAAGATGGCTTTGTCCCTCCTGATGTTGAGTGGCTCTTTTGGTCGTTGAGATAGCTTTGTCCCTCTTGATGTTGAGTGGCTCCACTGGTCGTTAAGATGGCTTTGTCTTTCCTGATGTTGAGTTGCTCCACTGGTCGTTAAGATGGCTTTGTCCCTCCTGATGGTGAGTGGCTCCACTGGTCGTTAAGATGGCTTTGTCCCTTCTGATGTTGAGTGGCTCCACTGGTCGTTAAGATGGCTTTGTCCTTCTTGAAGTTGAGTGGCTCCACTGGTCGTCTAGATGGTCTTGTAGCTCATGATGTTGAGTGGCTCCACTGGTGGTTAAGATGGCTTTGTCCCTCTTGATGTAGAGTTGCTCCAATGGTCGTTAAGATTGCTTCGTCCCTCCTGATGTTGAGTGGCTCCATTGGTCGTTACGATGGCTTTGTCCCTCCTGATGTTGAGTGGCTCCACTGGTCGTTAAGATGGCTTTGTCCCTCCTGATGTTGAGTGGCTCCACTGGTTGTTAAGATTGCTTCGTCCCTCCTGATGTTAAGTGGCTCCACTGGTCGTTAAGATGGCTTTGTTCCTCCTGATGTTGAGTGGCTCCACTGGTCGTTAAGATGGCTTTGTCCCTTCTGATGTTGAGTGGCTCCACTGGTCGTTAAGATGGCTTTGTCCCTCTTGATGTTGAGTGGCTCCACTGGTCGTCTAGATGGTCTTGTAGCTCATGATGTTGATTGGCTCCACTGGTGGTTAAGATGGCTTTGTCCCTCTTGATGTAGAGTTGTTCTAATGGTCGTTAAGATAGCTTTGTCCCTCCTGATGTTGAGTGGCTCCATTGGTCGTTAAGATGTCTTTGTCCCTCCTGATGTTGAGTGGTTCCACTGGCCGTTAAGATGGCTTTGTCCCTCCTGATGTTGAGTGGCTCCACTGGTCATTTAGATGGCTTTGTCCCTCTTGATGGTGAGTGGCTCCACTGGTCGTTAAGATGGCTTTGTCTCTCTTGATGCTGAGGGGATGCACTGGTCGTTAAGGTTGCTTTGTCCCTCTGATGTTGAGTTGCTCCACTGCTCGTTAATATGACTTTGTCCCTCCTGATGTTGAGTGGTTCCGATGCTCATTAATATTACTTTGTCCCTCCTGATTTTGAGTGGCTCCACTGGTCGTTTAGATGGATTTGTCCTTCTTGACGTTGAGTGGCTCTATCGGTCGTTAAGATTGCATCGTCCCTCTTGATGTTGAGTGGCTCCACTGGACATTAACATTGCTTTGTACCTCCCGATGTTGAGTGGCTCTATTGGTCATTAAGATGGCTTTGTCCCTCCTGGTGTTTCGTGGCTCAAATGGTCGTTAAGATGGCTTTGTCCCTCTTGATGTTGAGTGGCTCCAATGGTCATTAAGATGGCTTTGTCCTTCCTGATGTTTCGTGGCTCAAATGGTCGTTAAGATGGCTTTGTCCCTCTTGATGTTGAGTGGCTCCAATGGTCGTTAAGATGGCTTTGTCCCTCCTGATGTTTCGTGGCTCAAATTGTCGTTAAGATGGCTTTGTCCCTCCTGATGTTGAGATGCTCGACTGATCGATTACATGGCTTTGTCCCTCCTGATGTTGAATGGCTCCACTGGTCATTAAGATGGCTTTGTACCTCCTGATGTTGAGTGGCTCCACTGCTCGTTAAAATGATTTTGTCCCTCCTGATTTCGAGTGGCTCCACTGGTCGTTTAGATGGCTTTGTCCTTCTTAATGTTAGTGGCTCCACTAGACTTTAGATGGCCTTGTCCATCCTGATGTTAATTGTGGCTCCACTGGTCGTTTAAGTGGCTTTGTCCCTCTTGATATTGAGTGGCTCCACTGGCCGTTTAGATATGTTTGTACCACTTAATGTTGATTGGCTCCACTGGTCGTTAAGCTGGCTTTGTCCCTCTTGATATTGAGTGGCTCCACTGGTCGTTTAGATGTCTTTGTCCCTCTCAATATTGAGTGGCTGCACTTGTTGTTAAGGTGGTTTTGTCCCTCCTGATGTTGATTGGCTCCACTGCTCGTTAATATGACTTTGTCCCTCCTGATTTTGAGTTGCTCTACTGGTCGTTTAGATGGCTTTGTCTTTCTTAATGTTGAGTGGCTACACTGGACTTTAGATGGCTTTGTACCTCCTGATGTTAAGTGTCTCTCCACTGGTCGTTTAGGTGGCTTTTTCCCTCTTGATATTGAGTGGCTCCACTGGTCGTTTAGATAACTTTGTACCACTTAATGTTGATTGGCTCCACTGGTCGTTAAGATTGTTTTGTCCCTCTTGATGTTGAGTGGCTCCACTGGTCGTTAAGATCGCTTTGTCCCTCCTGATGTTGATTGGCTCCACTGGTGGTTAAGATGGCTTTGTCCCTCTTGATGTAGCGTTGCTCCAATGGTCGTTAAGGTGGCTTTGTCTCTCTTGATGTTGAGTGGCTCCACTGATCATTTAGATGGCTTTGTCCCTCTTGATGTTGAGTGGTTCTACGTCTGACGAATTTACACAGCTGACGTGAGTGTGGCACCCAACGTCCCACATACGGCCCTTACAGCTAGGTTCTATATCCGGTTCAGTCCATTTAGGTTCGTTTGGCTTGCAAAGGCCTTGATCGGGAGGCTTTAGTCCACTACTCCTCTCACATTCCTGAGATATAACGTACTTAGGAGGCTTGCATCAGCACCGTTCAGTCCTAGCCGGTTTCTTTACCTGACTGATTTTAGACCTGGCACGAGCGATTATTTATCTGATGTTTCTGGTCAAGCTTAACTCCCAGATAAGCAGTTGTTTTTTTAAATTCTACTTTAGAGTCTGTCCTTCCGTTCGCCAGGTTGAGGTTTTCACATGTATTCTCCCTCTAGACTTTTTCGCTTTGAGGATTTCTGCAAGCTCTTTGGCCTTAAGTAGTTGGACGCTCCTCAGTGTGAAGGTGTTTTCTTTCTGGCCACCTTCTTTCGTTCGTTTGCTCTCTCCTCTACGAGCACCTGTAGATTTTTGTTCCAATAAATTCTCGAAATTACTCTTCTTGCCTCCTCGAGAATCTTGGCTATAAAGAGTTTATATTAAACATGTCGTCTGGTATTTTGGCATGGACTGCCGCTAGAGCTTTGGTCTTTGTTTTGATTCTAAGCGAGTTCGTATTCAGAAACTGACAGTTTCTTTTAAGTAAACTTGCCTTGGTGCTAGTTTGCAAAATTCTTGGGAGTATAGTATTGTCGTTGATGCAGATCTGCTTTAGGCCAACAAGACTAAGTTTAGTCCGCTGGAATTAGCGTCAAATATAACCGGGACTCCATACTATGTGCCCCCCCCCACTATGAAGTTATGTGGCTACACTTTTTTCGACTTGAAGCAGGAGGAGGAGGAGGAGGAGGAGGAGGTCTAAATCGAGGCAAAATCCTCAACGCTGGCATGCAGACGCTTTACATTCATGTATAGCCCCAGTCACGTGATTGGGCGATTAAAATCACCCGCCAGTACTGTCCTTTGAAATCAATATTATCACCGAGAGGTAAGCTGATAGGATTACTCGGTTTACTCTATACCTTTATAATCACAATAGATTGTTTTTTTTTTGTTCTTTTTGTGTTCACTCGAATGGTGATGGTTTGTGCACCTTGGAATTAGTTAACCTCAAGCATTTCTATCTGGAGCTCATTTTTTCCGCAATGGCCAGACCTCTGCATTGTTTAGATTAGGAGTAGTACAGCTTGTGTCCACGTCCAATTTGTGGAACAGCCTGGTGGTTTCCGCTTCCCTTTGTCTCACGTTCAGTAGTACTATTGATGGGTAAGGTGGGTGCCCATTACCACCACACATTTCCTGCCCTGTCATTTTATCACACGTCAACTTGACCCCCGACAATGACGTAAGAGGGGATTGGATCCCCAACACAGGAACAGTTGTCTTGTCCATCTTTCCAACCCAGGAACACTTAATCGTGTCCATCTTAGCCCGTCCAACGAAGAAGGCACTGACTGAGTTGCCACCTCCAATAAAGGTTGTATAATCGTACTTGCCATCGTGCTAAGAGTCTGGGAAGTCCTGCTTCCACCCATTAGGAATTAGGTGTTGCGTCGCCTCATCCCTTCTCCAAAGAAGTCCTTCTGTAGGACATTTCGCATAGCATGCCGGTTTCGTTTAGCCTTTTATTGGCTGATTCCACGATACTGTTCCACTGCGCCACGTAGAGGCAAAACCCATCCACAATCTAGGCCAACTAGAAACTTCCGGCATAGTATATTCTTTTATTAAGAAACACTGCTATTTAAGTAAGCTAAAGACATCACCTCCATTTTAGTTTCTTGTATAAAACATTCTATTAAGACCTAATAATTACATCAAATATTTATATTTACTATGTAGGCTTAATTTTAGATATAATATTTATTACATACCATTTAGACCTAATATTTAGACGTACGAGTTAGACCATCTATGTATATATACCACTTACACATAATATTTAGATTTCTAAGTATACATACACTTTTGAAAAAATGTACTATTTAGGCAAAATAGTTAGATCTACTCCTTAGACATACTTTTTAGGCCTACTTATTAGACCAACTATTTAAACCTACCACTTTGACCATGTATTGACTGTTTCCTTAAAGACTCAACCACATTTTGATGGGAGTGCTATACTTACTTAAAGCTAAACAATTTAAATATCGACGGATTGAATTCTGCTTTTAAGCTAGGACCAAGGTGTTTAATTATTACAATTTGAACAAATGGCCAATTTGGAATATAAGGTTTGGGTTTCAAGTTGCTCATTTAGTTTTTGAAAATTAATTTTTTTTGTTGCTTTGATTGAGAGTTGAGATCACAATTGATTAGTTTCTTTGTTGTTGTTTTTTTTATTTTGATTGTTGCCTTGTAGCACACGAGAGAATCATGTTGACAGGGGCCACACTCATGATGCTGTTGCTGTCAGTCGCCGGTCAGGACAATCACGGCTGTAACTTTATTTCTAAATTGAAGTGCTTCAGAATTTTTCCCCAACAAAGTTTCCATAAGATCTGCCCGCCAGGTTTCCTGGTAGCCGCTTATCAACTCTTTCAATACCCCGAATACAAGGAAATAAAGGGCAAGGTCACCGTGATCACGTGTCTTTCTTCTGGCAAAAGCGAGGACTGTAGAATGAGCGGTAAGTCATTTCATTATTAAATTAGCGGAATATCATTTAATCAATGCAGGACTGGTTAATCATTTAATGAATTGCAAGTAATTTAATCTTTCAGCGAGATGTAAGTCATTTAATCTTTCAGCGAGAAGTAAGTCATTTAATCACTGAACGAGCGGTAATTCATGAAACCATTAAAAGATCAGTGGGGCATTTAATCATTAAATAATCATTAATTCATTTAATCACTGAATGAATGGTAGTTATTTAATCATTGAAACATCGTTTAGTCATTTAATTTTTGAATTTATCAGTAAATATTTAATCATACAACAAGCGGTAACCCATTTAATCATATAATGAGCGGTAAAGCCATTAATCATACATTATGTTGTAAGTCATTTAGTCATTGAAAGAGCGATAAATCATTTAATCATTGAAAGAGAAGAAAGTCATTTCATCATGGAATTAGGGGTAAATCATTCAAACCAATAAATGAGTGGAAAGTTATTTAATCATTCAATGATCGGTAAGTAATTTAATATTTGAATTAGTGATTAGTTATTTAATCATTAAGTGATAATTAAGTCATTTAATCATTCAATGAGTGATAAGTCATTTTATCATTAAAGAAGCAGTAATTCTTTTAATCATTGAATCAATGGTAAGTCATTTAATCATTCAAGAATCGGTAAGTAATTTAATCATTTAAAGAGCATTAAGTTATTTAATCATTCTACAAGCTATTATATAATAGACATATTCTTGTGTGGGTACTGAGATTATTAATCCGGCTAGGACATTTGCTACCAGCTCCATCTGTTGGGCTGAGCAATGTAACATTTTCCTCACGTAGACTTTCCCACCGCCCTTACTTTCCGGAAAATATATATTGAGGGGCATTCGGTCAATAGTTACGCTAGTGTCTCCAGGACCAGGCTGCAATGCCTGCTAGTATGGTCACGGTTGTAATCTAGCTTTTAGAAATATGCACCCATGGGACACTGCCCTTTGCGCATCTGCGTCACTAGATGCTTTCAACCTAACCCCCACCAGGGATCCTTTATGCTAGGAGGAAGCAATTCAGCGTAACCGCCCCTGGTGGTGGTGTTCTCTGCCCATTGTCTGTGACAGTTTGTCGTCCAGTCAGTTTTTGATTCCTGTTAAAGACTTGAATGTATAGTGTGATGGCGTGTTTTTCTGTGTTTTTTTTTGGAGAGTATTTGGGTAGATATTGTTATTAAATGTTTGATATTTTTGTGACGTATTGAACGAAAGGAAAATGACGTTTTAGTGTGTTGTAGTGTCTTTCTTGGAGTTAGCAGTTGAGATTTAATGAATAAACGTTTCTTATTTTAATATTTAATGATCAATTGTTTGTGAAGTGGAGAAATTAAACCCCTAGACAGAACAAAGCCATCGAACCTTTGGGAAGAATCAGGCTCTTAATAATTCCCACTTAAGTTGCTAGTACAGAAGGCTGATGCTGGGAAGTCCCGGTCTCTGCCAGAGAATCTGCCTTTTAATTGCCACTGACGTTATGCCATCTGTACCTCTCGATAGTACTTAAAATTGCCTTCTTATTTCTAATGGTTCTCTAGCCAAGACCTCTACAGCAGCTGTGGGTGCCAAGACCTCTACAGCAGCTGTGGGTGCCAAGACCTCTACAGCAGCTGTGGATGCCAAGACCTCTACAGCAGCTGTGGGTGCCAAGACCTCTACAGCAGCTGTGGGTGCCAAGACCTCTACAGCAGCTGTGGGTGCCAAGACCTCTACAGCAGCTGTGGGTGCCAAGACCTCTACAGCAGCTGTGGGTGTCAAGACCTCTACAGCAGCTGTGGGTGTCAAGACCTCTACAGCAGCTGTGGGTTTCATTCTGAATGCATCACAGATACATTTGAAAATCTTGTTCTGGATTCGGATCATTTTTTCCAGAGCGGTCTTGCTTACAAAGGATTGGAATGGCATGATATAATCCATGACTGACCTTACAAGGGCCTTGAAATAGAGCTCTAAGTCTACTTCCTCCTGCTTTTGCAAGCTAGGGGTCACAAACCGGGATCCAACTCTCGAAAGTACCGGGATATTGGACTGTAACGGATGCTTGTAAATACCGGGATTGGATCCATGAGCCCAGGGATTTTCGCATCTTCCAGTATTTCCTTGTCAAAAATATATATCGCTTTTCTTTGTTTTGATGTCGTTGTTAAAGTAAGACATAACACATATATGTATGTGATGTGCGATGTGCGATGTGCGAACACCTGACGGCACGTGTCTCAAGTTCAAATACAGACGACCGACGGACAAGATATGTGTACTGTGTTTCATTGGTAAAGAAGCAGAGCGTTCTGATGAGTTTTTTTTAAATATTTTTTTTATATCGTGCGTGTATAAGTGTATAAACATAGCTTGTACGTGGAGACGTAAAGCACCGAATCCTAAATATGAAAAATACATGAAACTAATGGAAACAAAGACATCATATTTATATCATTTCTTGAAACCTACTGACAATCTTTCAGTCTTATATATTCTAGTGTCTATGGTTATTTCCTTTTTATTTTACTTTAGCAGTTTAAATAGTTTACATATTTTTAATAATTTTAAAGCGCTTAGAGCTGTAAGGTAAGCGCTATAAAAAAATACCTAAATAAATAAATACATAAATACATTCGATGTAACAATACACTTATTATACTGTCTTGAAAGATAACGCCGGTGTCGGTTCCGGTACTCAAAGAGCATCGTATTCTATGGCACCTTGTTCAACATCGATTTCCATGGCGTCTTGTTCAGCATCGATTTCTATGGCATCTTGTTCTAAATTGACGCTGACACAGAAGAAAAAATCAAGAAAAAAACACATTAAAGGACAATTTTTAAGTTCAAGCAGTATAGCCTAAACAATTTCTAGTATGAAAGCTTTAGGTGTTCCTCCATTCAGTTTGCTCATTGCTTTTAATGATTTAATACGAACCATGAAGCAATGTGGCAACCATTTGCCTGCACCCTCTAATTCAATTAAAAACATGGCGATAAAGTTTGATTAATAAACTTCGTAAGTTGAAAACAGAAAGTATTTAACTGTATCTGACACTGGATGAATGGAAGAGTTTAGCTGTGTCTGACACTGGATGAATGGAAGAGTTTAATTGTCTCTGACAATGGATGAATGGAAGAGTTGAGCTGTCTCTGACACTGGATGAATGGAAGAGTTGAGCTGTCTCTGACACTGGATGAATGGAAGAGTTGATCTGTCTCTGACACTGGATGAATGGAAGAGTTTAGCTGTCTCTGACACTGGATGAATGGAAAAGTTGAGCTGTCTCTGGCACTGGATGAATGGAAGAGTTGAGCTGTCTCTGACACTGGATGAATGGAAGAGTTGAGCTGTCTCTGACACTGTATGAATGGAAGAGTTGAGCTGTCTCTGACACTGGATGAATGGAAGAGTTGAGCTGTCTCTGACACTGGATGAATGGAAGAGTTGAGCTGTCTCTAACACTGGATAAATGGAAGAGTTGAGCTGTCTCTAACACTGGATGAATGGAAGAGTTGAGCTTTCTCTGACACTTGATGAATGGAAGAGTTGAGCTGTCTCTGACACTGTATGAATGGATTAGTTTAGCTGTCTCTGACACTGGATGAATGGAAGAGTTGAGCTGTCTCTAACACTGGATAAATGGAAGAGTTGAGCTGTCTCTAACACTGGATGAATGGAAGAGTTGAGCTTTCTCTGACACTGGATGAATGGAAGAGTTGAGCTGTCTCTGACACTGGATGAATGGATTAGTTTAGCTGTCTGTGACACTGGATGAATGGAAGAGTTTAGCTGTCTCTGAAACTGGATGAATGGAAGAGTTGAGCTGTCTCTGACACTGGATGAATGGAAGTGTTTAGCTGTTTCTGAAACTGGATGAATGGAAGAGTTGAGCTGTCTCTGACACTGGATGAATGGAAGAGTTGAGCTGTCTCTGACACTGGATGAATGGAAGTGTTTAGCTGTTTCTGACACTGGATGAATGGAAGAGTTGAGCTGTCTCTGACACTGGATGAATGGAAGAGTTTGGAAAATCTTTATTTGATAAAAGTGAACATTCATAGTCCTGTGTTAACCAATCTTGGCCTGGTAAGGGTGATTTGCAGCATATCGGCCAGGGCCTGGTCAGGGTGATTGGCAGCATGCCGGCCAGGGCCTGGTCAGGGTGATTGACAGCATGTCGACCAGGGCCTGGTAAGGGTGATTGGCATCATGCCAGCCATGCCTGGTAAGGGTGATTGACAGCATATCGGCCAGAACATATTGACATTTGTTGAAAAAAGACAGGCTATCCACTTTTGATATATCATTGAAAGATGATAACGTCTGCATAGCTACTGAAGTTTTCAGTGTGATGACCAAATTAGGACGTGAAGCAGCGCGAACTTGGTGCCTCCCTGAAGCGCCAGATTGAAGAGTGCAGATTTTTGGTAGCTTCAACATTGAAACACTTCATTACTCTAAGACGTACTGTGATTCGTAAAATAACTATGTGTACGTAGTTCCAAGACCCGGTTGCGACCAGATGTGAAAACAAATTGTGGACATACAAAAGCTTGGTCAAACAGCGCTTGTCTATTTGGAAATTTTTATTGACAAAGAGAATGAATATCTTGGATTTAAGCATGACGCACCTGAAGATACACTGTCTCTAAAGAGGCAAATTTAAATTGAAATACAAAAGAAACTCCAGCTGGGAATAATACTTCCAGACCAAAAAACGGAGACAATGATACATTGGTCAAAATAGAGATGGCTTTATTTAAATTTGTCGGTTCAAAAGGAAAATATCTAGACTTGCGTAAAAAAAAGTTTATTCCTCCAACCAGTGTGCAGTCTGAGCGTGTGTTCTCCTCTTCAGTTTTCTTTTGTCGCCATTCCCTGTCAAAATCAAACTGTCAAAATCAAATCATTGACATTTTGTCATTTCTACCATCTCATTATTTAAATTTGACCAAATATTAAAACAAAACAATTTTTTTTTTTTTAAATTTGTTTAATCAACGTTTTAATTGAAATAGCTCAGAATGCTCAAGTTATATTTCCGTGTTAGTGTTAAAAGCTTAGTAAACCTCAAAATGTGAGATTTTATCTGTATGTATTTAGTTCATTTACAAATCGTTATCTAGGACCTCATTGAAAAAATATCTGTATATTGAAAGTATAGAAAATATTGTGATTCCGGTATCGTAAAACTTCAATATCGAAAATAACGGTTTTGGTGAAAGCGACCCATATTGCGACCTCTGGTGCAAGCCACATTTTTTTTTACAAAGTTGAGCTTTACGGTTGACACCGAGCAGAGGTCTTGAACAAAATTATATATTTGCAACTTTGATCGAATTTGACCCAAGGGGTAAACCTTTTGCTTGCCCCATTCAACGAGCTTAATCGAATAATAATTGGCTAAAACATGACTGGCATAATGATGTTAATGAAACAATGGTTTGATCTTAATGGAATGACAGTTCCCTATAACATGACTGTCATAAACATATTAATTTAATAACAGTAGGCTAAGACACTTTTATTTTCACTTCTTCTGCTCGAAGCGGGAACGCTCTCATGATGCATATCGTTTGGCAAGGCTGCTCATTTGGACATTTCATTGACACTTTATATTGCAGGTGCGTTAAAATAAATGTTCCTAAAATTCTCTTTCGGGCCTGAAATAATTGTATTCAGGGCCGGATGTGGCCCGCGGTACTTGAGTTTGACACATATGATCTAAATAGAATAACAAATGGCTAACACATGACTGGCATAGTGATCTTGATGGAATAACAATGGGCTAAAACATGACCGGCATGGTGATCTTGATGGAATAAAAATGGGCTAAAACATGACTGGCCTGATGATCTAAGTCACGGCAGTAAAATTGAATCGCTCAGTGTAAGGTTGAGGGTCTGTAACAACATCGTAATAATAACTTTGTTTGTTACTTGTAGCAAAATGTCCATGATTACTTAAAATCACGAGGCCAGAACTTCATGAAGTCGCAGCACACAGTTTATTAATGGAAAATAAAAATACACAGCATGAAATAATATCTCTAGAAATGAGAGAAAACGTAGTTGTCATATTTAGAGAAAACATAGTTGTCATAATGAGAGAAAACGTAGTTGTCATAATGAGAGAAAACGTAGTTGTCATATTTAGAGAAAAAGTAGTTTTCATAATGAGAGAAAACGTAGTTGTCATAATGAGAGAAAACGTAGTTTTCATAATGAGATAAAACGTAGTTGTCATATTTAGAGTTAAAGTAGTGGTCATAATGAGAGAAAACGTAGTTGTCATATTTAGAGAAAACGTAGTTGTCATATTTAGAGTTAAAGTAGTGGTCATAATGAGAGAAAACGTAGTTGTCATATTTAAAGAAAACGTAGTTGTCATATTTAGAGAAGACGTAGTTGTCATATTTAGAGAAAACGTAGTTGTCATAATGAGAGAAAACGTAGTTGTCATAATGAGAGAAAACGTAGTTGTCATAATGAGAGAAAACGTAGTTGTCATATTTAGAGAAAAAGTAGTTTTCATAATGAGAGAAAACGTAGTTGTCATAATTAGAGAAAACGTAGTTTTCATAATGAGAGAAAACGTAGTTTTCATATTTAGAGAAAAAGTAGTTTTCATATTTAGAGAAAACGTAGTTGTCATATTTAGAGTTAAAGTAGTGGTCATAATGAGAGAAAACGTAGTTGTCATATTTAAAGAAAACGTAGTTGTCATATTTAGAGAAAACGTAGTTGTCATAATGAGAGAAAACGTAGTTGTCATATTTAGAGAAAACGTAGTTGTCATAATGAGAGAAAACGTAGTTGTCATAATGAGAGAAAACGTAGTTGTCATATTTAGAGAAAAAGTAGTTTTCATAATGAGAGAAAACGTAGTTGTCATAATGAGAGAAAACGTAGTTTTCATAATGATAGAAAACGTAGTTTTCATATTTAGAGAAAACGTAGTTTTCATATTTAGAGAAAACGTAGTTGTCATATTTAAAGAAAACGTAGTTGTCATATTTAGAGAAGACGTAGTTGTCATATTTAGAGAAAACGTAGTTGTCATAATGAGAGAAAACGTAGTTGTCATATTTAGAGAAAACATAGTTTTCATATTTAGAGAAAACGTAGTTGTCATATTTAGAGTTAAAGTAGTGGTCATAATGAGAGAAAACGTAGTTGTCATATTTAAAGAAAACGTAGTTGTCATATTTAGAGAAGACGTAGTTGTCATATAACGTTTTCAACTAAGATCAGTTGAGTCAACATGGAAATGGTGTTTGATATACAAGAGCCAATAATGAAAATACACAGACTGCCATTTATAAGTCGTTCACTTGCTTCTCTGCGCATGACATAACATATATAATTAACTTCCTGTTCACCTAAACTTAAAAAAAACAATACAGTATCCGAAACAAAATTATGATCTCAATATTTGACTGGTGACAGGGCCGAACATGAATATCAATAAAACATAGAAAGATTTGAATAATAAAAACAAAAAAAAAGTAATATTCTGTGTCATTGAGACTCTCATGATGGACTGCAAGTTATCATTAGTAAGAAGAATCCTGTGGGATGTTGTGTTAATTTCCATCACAGAAAAAAGGGTTCTCACACAGATATGTGTTACAAACCATGCGAAAGGTTCGAGCCGCATCTAGAAGAAACATGAGGATTGTTTGCAGGAATGAATCGAGTGAAATGTGCAGGCCACACAGTGACGTACTTTGGCTTCAGTGTCACATTACACGGCAGCTCTATTAGCTCCATCTGAAAATTAAAAAGTGTAGTTTCTACCGATATGACTAATGGGTTAGTGTAACGACGAACATCTAATAACTTCACAACTTTTATTTTCACTTCTTCTGCTCGAAGCGGGAAAGCTCTCATGATGCTTATCGTTTGGCCAGGCTGCTAATTAGGACATTTCATTGACACTTTATATTGCAGGGGCGTTAAAATAAGTTTACCTTAATTTCAATTTCGGGCCTGAAATAATTGTATCCAGGGCCGGATGTGGCCCGCGGAACTTGAGTTTGACACATATGATCTAAATAGAATAACGAATGGCTAAAGCATGACTGGCATGATGATCTTGATGGAATAACAATGGCCTAACACATGACTGTCATGGTGATCTTGATGGAATAACAATGGGCTAAAACATGACTGTCATAGTGATCTTGATGGAATAACAATGGGCTAAAACATGACTAGCATAGTGATTTTGATTGAATAACAATGGGCTAAAACATGACTGGCATAGTGATCTTGATGGAATTAAAATGGGCTAAAACATGACTGGCATAGTGATCTTGATGGAATAACAATGGGCTAAAACATGACTGGCATAGTGATCTTGATGGAATAACAATGGGCTAAAACATGACTAGCATAGTGATTTTGATGGAATAACAATGGGCTAAAACATGACTGGCATAGTGATCTTGATGGAATTACAATGGGCTAAAACATGACTGGCATAGTGATCTTGATGGAATAACAATGGGCTAAAACATGACTGGCATAGTGATCTTGATGGAATAACAATGGGCTAAAACATGACTAGCATAGTGATTTTGATTGAATAACAATGGGCTAAAACATGACTGGCATAGTGATCTTGATGGAATTAAAATGGGCTAAAACATGACTGGCATAGTGATCTTGATGGAATAACAATGGGCTAAAACATGACTGGCATAGTGATCTTGATGGAATAACAATGGGCTAAAACATGACTGGCATAGTGATCTTGATGGAATAACAATGGGCTAAAACATGACTGGCATAGTGATCTTGATGGAATAACAATGGGCTAAAACATGACTTGCATAGTGATTTTGATGGAATAATAATGGGCTAAAACATGACTGGCATAGTGATCTTGATGGAATAACAATGGGCTAAAACATGACTGGGATAGTAGTCTAGGTTGCTGTCCGTCTTCAATGTCACCATGATCTACATAGTCTTCTTATTGACACTTTAATCTACAATGATCCAATGAGTCAACTTATTGAGAACTTGATCTGCAATGTATCCAATGAGGCAAATTACTAAGACCTTGATAAACAATGAATCCAATGAGCCAACTTACTGAGACCTTGATCTACAATGTATCCAGTAAGTCAACTTACTAAGACTTTGATCTACAATGTATCCAATGAGTCAACTTATTTGGATCTTGATCTACAATGTATCGAATAAGTCTACTTAATTAGACCTTGATCTACAATATAATCCATGAGTCACCTGAATGAGATCTTGATCAACTATGAGTCCCATGTGTCACTTTGTGTTGACCCCAATTAGGTTTTGTTGATTGTGAGGGATTGATTTAGCTTGTAATGAACGACTCGTAATATCTATCACTAATGAATACGACAATGGTTACATCAACCTACTATGATTTGGGAATATATTTTCAACTAATAAGACATGGGCACATAACTCCCACGACCAAGACATTTATACATAACCCCAAAAACATTAGTTATTAGTTCCAACCACTAATACATAAGTACATAACTCCAGCCACTAACACATCGGCACATAACTCCCACTACTAAACCATGGGCACATAACTCAAACTACTAAAACATGGGCACATAACTCCCACTACTAAGACATGGGCACATAACTCCGACTACGAAGACTTAAGTACAAATCTCTCACAACTACTAAGACATATTAACATAAATCCCACTAATAAGACATGACCACATCACTCCCGCTACTAAGACATGGGCCCATAACTTCCACTACTAAAACATGGGCACATAACTCCCACTACTAAAACATGGGCAAAAACTCCCACTCCTAAGACATGAGTGCATTACTCCCACTACAAAGACATGAGTACATATCTCCCATTACTAAGACATGTGTACTTATCTCACACTACCTTGACATGAGTACATATCTCACACTACTAAGACATGAGTACTTATCTCCCACTACTAAGACAGGAGTACATATCTCCCTCAACTAAGAAATGAGTACATATCTCCCATTATTAAAACATGCGTACTTATCTCACACTACTAAGACATGAGTACATATCTCACACTATTAAAACATGAGTACATATCTCCCACTATTAAGGCATGAGTACATATCTCCCACTACTAAGACACTAGTACATATCTCCCACTACTAAGAGATGAGTACGTATCTCTCACAACTACAATATGAGTAAATATCTCCACTACTAAGACATGATTACATATCACCCACTATTAAGACATGAGTACGTATCTCCCACTACTAAGACATGATTACACATCACCCACTATTAAGACATGAGTACGTATCTCCCACTACTAAGACATGAGTGCATTACTCCCACTAACAAGCGGTGAGTGCATTACTCCCACTACTAAGACATGAGTACATATCTCCCACTACTAAGACATGAGTAAATATATCCCACTACTAAGACATGAGTGAATATCTCCCACGACTAAGACATAAGTACATATCTCCCACTACTAAGACATGAGTACATATCACCTACTACTATGACATGGGCACATATCTGCCTTTATTAAGACATGAGTACATATCTCCCACTACTAAGACATTAGTACATATCTCCCACTACTTAGACATGAGTACATATCTCCCACTAATATGACATAAGTACATACCTCGCACTACTAAGACATGAGTACTTATCTCCCAATACTAAGACATGAGCACTTATCTCCCATTACTAGAACATGAGTACATATCTCCCACTACTAAGACATGAGTGCATTACTTCCACTACTTGGACATGAGTGGATTACTCCTAATACTAAGACATGAGTGCATTACTCCCACTACTAAGACATGAGTAAATATCTCCCACTACTAAGACATGAGTGAATATCTCCCACTACTAAGACATGAGTACATTTCTCCCATTACTAAGTCATGAGTACATATCTCCCACTACTAAGACATGAGTACATATCTCCAACTATTAAGACATGAGTACATATCTCCCACTACTAAGACATGAGTACATATCTCCCACTACTAAGACATGAGTACATATGTCCCACTATTATTACATGAGTACATATCTCCCACTACTAAGACATGAGTAATGTCTCCCACTATTAAGACATGAGTACATATCTCCCACTATTAAAACATGAGTACATATCTCCCACTACTAAGACATGAGTACATATATCCCACTATTAATACATGAGTACATATCTCCCACTACTAAGACCTAGGTACATATCTCCCACTACTAAGACATGAGTACATATCTCCCAATATTAATACATGAGTACATATCTCCCACTACTAAGACATGAGTACATATCTCCCACTATTAATACATGAATACATATCTCCAACTACTAAGAAATGAGTACATATCTCCCACTACTAAGAAATGAGTACATATCTCCCACTATTAATACATGAGTACATATCTCCCACTACTAAGACATGAGTACATATCTCCCACTATTACTACATGGGTACATATCTCCCACTACTAAGACATGAGTACATATCTACCAATACGAAGACATGAGGACTAGATACCACGATTACAGTAAAACTACTAAAACATGAGGGCGTTTCTCGCACGATTCCCGTCATCCTTCTATAAACAAAATAGAAATATATGCAAACATAAATCAACTCAAGTCTAATGATAATGGGATGTTTGTTATTGTAATACTTTCAATCAACTCAAGTCTAATGATAATGGGATGTTTGTTATTGTAATACTTTAAATCAACTAAAGTCTAATGATAATGGAATGTTTGTTATTGTAATACTTTAAATCAACTCAAGTGTAATGATAATGGGATGTTTGTTATTGTAATACTTTAAATCAACTCAAGTCTAATGATAATGGAATGTTTGTTATTGTAATACTTTCAATCAACTCAAGTGTAATGATAATGGGATGTTTGTTATTGTAATACTTTTAATCAACTCAAGTCTAATGATAATGGGATGTTTTTTATTGTAATACTCTCAATCAACTCAAGTATAATGATAGAGGGATGTTTTTTATTGTAATAATTTAAATCAACTCAAGTGTAATGATAATGGGATGTTTTTTTATTGTAATACTTTAAATCAACTCAAGTGTAATGATAATGTGATATTTGTTATTGTAACACTTTAAATCAACTCAAGTGTAATGATAATGGGATGTTTGTTATTGTAACACTTTAAATCAACTCAAGTCTAATGATAATGGGATGTTGTTATTGTAATAATTTAAATCAACTCAAGTGTACTGATAATGGGATGTTTTTTATTGTAATACTTTAAATCAACTCAAGTCTAATGATAATGGGATGTTTGTTATTGTAATAATTTAAATCAACTCAAGTGTAATGATAATGGAATGTTTTTTATTGTAACACTTTAAATCAACTCAAGTCTAATGATAATGGGATGTTTGTTATTGTAATAATTTAAATCAACTCAAGTGTACTGATAATGGGATGTTTTTTATTGTAATACTTTAAATCAACTCAAGTCTAATGATAATGGGATGTTTGTTATTGTAATAATTTAAATCAACTCAAGTGTAATGATAATGGAATGTTTTTTATTGTAATACTTTAAATCATTTCAAGTCTAATGATAATGGGATGTTTGTTATTGTAATACTTTCAATCAACTCAAGTGTAATGAAAATCTGATATTTGTTATTGTAACAATTTAAATCAACTCAAGTCTAATGATAATGGGATGTTTGTTATTGTAATACTTTAAATCAACTCAAGTGTAATGATAATGGGATGTTTGTTATTGTAATACTTTAAATCAACTTAAGTCTTATGATAATTGGATGTTTGTTATTGTAATACTTTAAATCAACTCAAGTGTAATGATATTGGGATGTTTGTTATTGTAACACTTTAAATAACTCAAGTCTAATGATAATGGGATGTTTGTTATTGTAATAATTTAAATCAACTCAAGTGTACTGATAATGGGATGTTTTTTATTGTAATACTTAAAATCAACTCAAGTCTAATGATAATGGGATGTTTGTTATTGTAACACTTTAAATCAACTCAAGTCTAATGATAATGGGATGTTTGTTATTGTAATACTTTAAATCAACTCAAGTGTAATTATAATGGGATGTTTGTTATTGTAATAATTTCAATCAACTCAAGTCTTATGATAATAGGATGTTTGTTATTGCAATACTTTTAATTAAATCAAGTCTAATAATAATGGGATGTTTGTTATTGTAATACTTTAAATCAACTCAAGTGTAATGATAATGGGATGTTTGTTATTGTAATAATTTAAATCAACTCAAGTCTAATGATAATGGGATGTTTGTTATTGTAATACTTTAAATCAACTCAAGTGTAATGATAATGGGATGTTTGTTATTGTAATACTTTAAATCAACTCAAGTCTAATGATAATGGGATGTTTGTTATTGTAATACTTTAAATCAACTCAAGTGTAATGATATTGGGATGTTTGTTATTGTAACACTTTAAATCAACTCAAGTCTAATGATAATGGGATGTTTGTTATTGTAATACTTTAAATCAACTCAAGTGTAATGATATTGGGATGTTTGTTATTGTAACACTTTAAATCAACTCAAGTCTAATGATAATGGGATGTTTGTTATTGTAATAATTTAAATCAACTCAAGTGTAATGATAATGGGATGTTTGTTATTGTAATACTTTAAATCAACTCAAGTCTAATGATAATGGGATGTTTGTTATTGTAATACTTTAAATCAACTCAAGTGTAATGATATTGGGATGTTTGTTATTGTAACACTTTAAATCAACTCAAGTCTAATGATAATGGGATGTTTGTTATTGTAATAATTTAAATCAACTCAAGTGTAATGATAATGGGATGTTTGTTATTGTAATACTTTAAATCAACTCAAGTCTAATGATAATGGGATGTTTGTTATTGTAATACTTTAAATCAACTCAAGTGTAATGATATTGGGATGTTTGTTATTGTAACACTTTAAATCAACTCAAGTCTAATGATAATGGGATGTTTGTTATTGTAATAATTTAAATCAACTCAAGTGTAATGATAATGGGATGTTTGTTATTGTAATACTTTAAATCAACTCAAGTCTAATGATAATGGGATGTTTGTTATTGTAATACTTTAAATCAACTCAAGTGTAATGATAATGGGATGTTTGTTATTGTAATACTTTAAATCAACTCAAGTCTAATGATAATGGGATGTTTGTTATTGTAATACTTTAAATCAACTCAAGTGTAATGATAATGGGATGTTTGTTATTGTAACACTTTAAATCAACTCAAGTGTAATGATAATGGGATGTTTGTTATTGTAATAATTTAAATCAACTCAAGTGTAATGATAATGGAATGTTTTTTATTGTAATACTTTAAATCAACTCAAGTCTAATGATAATGGGATGTTTGTTATTGTAATACTTTCAATCAACTCAAGTGTAATGAAAATCTGATATTTGTTATTGTAACAATTTAATTCAACTCAACTCTAATGATAATGGGATGTTTGTTATTGTAATACTTTAAATCAACTCAAGTGTAATGATAATGGGATGTTTGTTATTGTAATACTTTCAATCAACTTAAGTCTTATGATAATTGGATGTTTGTTATTGTAATACTTTAAATCAACTCAAGTGTAATGATATTGGGATGTTTGTTATTGTAACACTTTAAATCAACTCAAGTCTAATGATAATGGGATGTTTGTTATTGTAATAATTTAAATCAACTCAAGTGTACTGATAATGGGATGTTTTTTATTGTAATACTTTAAATCAACTCAAGTCTAATGATAATGGGATGTTTGTTATTGTAACACTTTAAATCAACTCAAGTGTAATGATAATGAGATGTTTGTTATTGTTATACTTTAAATCAACTCAAGTCTAATGATAATGGGATGTTTGTTATTGTAATACTTTAAATCAACTTAAGTCTTATGATAATTGGATGTTTATTATTGTAATACTTTAAATCAACTCAAGTTTAATAATATTGGGATGTTTGTTATTGTAACACTTTAAATCAACTCAAGTCTAATGATAATGGGTTGTTTGTTATTGTAATAATTTAAATCAACTCAAGTGTAATGATAATGGGATGTTTTTTTATTGTAATACTTTAAATCAACTCAAGTGTAATGATAAAGGGATGTTTTTTATTGTAATAATTTAAATCAACTCAAGTGTAATGATAATGGGATGTTTTTTATTGTAATACTTTAAATCAACTCAAATGTAATGATAATGGGATGTTTGTTATTGTAATACTTTAAATCAACTCAACTCTAATGATAATGGGATGTTTGTTTTTGTAATACTTTCAATCATCTCAAGTGTAATGATAATGGGATGTTTGTTATTGTAACACTTTAAATCAACTCAAGTCTAATGATAATGGGATGTTTATAATTGTAATACTTTAAATCAACTCAAGTGTAATTATAATGGGATGTTTGTTATTGTAATAATTTCAATCAACTCAAGTCTTATGATAATAGGATGTTTGTTATTGCAATACTTTTAATTAAATCAAGTCTAATAATAATGGGATGTTTGTTATTGTAATACTTTAAATCAACTCAAGTGTAATGATAATGGGATGTTTGTTATTGTAATACTTTCAATCAACTTAAGTCTTATGATAATTGGATGTTTGTTATTGTAATACTTTAAATCAACTCAAGTGTAATGATATTGGGATGTTTGTTATTGTAACACTTTAAATCAACTCAAGTGTAATGATAATGGGATGTTTGTTATTGTAATAATTTAAATCAACTCAAGTGTAATGATAATGGAATGTTTTTTATTGTAATACTTTAAATCAACTCAAGTTTAATAATATTGGGATGTTTGTTATTGTAACACTTTGAATCAACTCAAGTCTAATGATAATGGGTTGTTTGTTATTGTAATAATTTAAATCAACTCAAGTGTAATGATAATGGGATGTTTGTTATTGTAATACTTTAAATCAACTCAAGTGTAATGATAATGGGATGTTTGTTATTGTAATACTTTCAATCAACTTAAGTCTTATGATAATTGGATGTTTGTTATTGTAATACTTTAAATCAACTCAAGTGTAATGATATTGGGATGTTTGTTATTGTAACACTTTAAATCAACTCAAGTCTAATGATAATGGGATGTTTGTTATTGTAATAATTTAAATCAACTCAAGTGTACTGATAATGGGATGTTTGTAATTGTAATACTTTAAATCAACTCAAGTGTAATGATAATGGGATGTTTGTTATTGTAATACTTTAAATCAACTTAAGTCTTATGATAATTGGATGTTTGTTATTGTAATACTTTAAATCAACTCAAGTGTAATGATATTGGGATGTTTGTTATTGTAACACTTTAAATCAACTCAAGTCTAATGATAATGGGATGTTTGTTATTGTAATACTTTAAATCAACTCAAGTGTAATGATAATGGGATGTTTGTTATTGTAATACTTTAAATCAACTCAAGTCTAATGATAATGGGATGTTTGTTATTGTAATACTTTAAATCAACTCAAGTGTAATGATAATGGGATGTTTGTTATTGTAATACTTTAAATCAACTCAAGTCTAATGATAATGGGATGTTTGTTATTGTAATACTTTAAATCAACTCAAGTGTAATGATAATGGGATGTTTGTTATTGTAATACTTTAAATCAACTCAAGTCTAATGATAATGGGATGTTTGTTATTGTAATACTTTAAATCAACTCAAGTGTAATGATAATGGGATGTTTGTTATTGTAATACTTTAAATCAACTCAAGTCTAATGATAATGGGATGTTTGTTATTGTAATACTTTAAATCAACTCAAGTGTAATGATAATGGGATGTTTGTTATTGTAATACTTTAAATCAACTCAAGTCTAATGATAATGGGATGTTTGTTATTGTAATACTTTAAATCAACTCAAGTGTAATGATAATGGGATGTTTGTTATTGTAATACTTTAAATCAACTCAAGTCTAATGATAATGGGATGTTTGTTATTGTAATACTTTAAATCAACTCAAGTGTAATGATAATGGGATGTTTGTTATTGTAATACTTTAAATCAACTCAAGTCTAATGATAATGGGATGTTTGTTATTGTAATACTTTAAATCAACTCAAGTGTAATGATAATGGGATGTTTGTTATTGTAATACTTTAAATCAACTCAAGTCTAATGATAATGGGATGTTTGTTATTGTAATACTTTAAATCAACTCAAGTGTAATGATAATGGGATGTTTGTTATTGTAATACTTTAAATCAACTCAAGTCTAATGATAATGGGATGTTTGTTATTGTAATACTTTAAATCAACTCAAGTGTAATGATAATGGGATGTTTGTTATTGTAATACTTTAAATCAACTCAAGTCTAATGATAATGGGATGTTTGTTATTGTAATACTTTAAATCAACTCAAGTGTAATGATAATGGGATGTTTGTTATTGTAATACTTTAAATCAACTCAAGTCTAATGATAATGGGATGTTTGTTATTGTAATACTTTAAATCAACTCAAGTGTAATGATAATGGGATGTTTGTTATTGTAATACTTTAAATCAACTCAAGTCTAATGATAATGGGATGTTTGTTATTGTAATACTTTAAATCAACTCAAGTGTAATGATAATGGGATGTTTGTTATTGTAATACTTTAAATCAACTCAAGTCTAATGATAATGGGATGTTTGTTATTGTAATACTTTAAATCAACTCAAGTGTAATGATAATGGGATGTTTGTTATTGTAATACTTTAAATCAACTCAAGTCTAATGATAATGGGATGTTTGTTATTGTAATACTTTAAATCAACTCAAGTGTAATGATAATGGGATGTTTGTTATTGTAATACTTTAAATCAACTCAAGTCTAATGATATTGGGATGTTTGTTATTGTAACACTTTAAATCAACTCAAGTGTAATGATAATGGGATGTTTGTTATTGTAATAATTTAAATCAACTCAAGTGTAATGATAATGGAATGTTTTTTATTGTAATACTTTAAATCAACTCAAGTCTAATGATAATGGGATGTTTGTTATTGTAATACTTTCAATCAACTCAAGTGTAATGAAAATCTGATATTTGTTATTGTAACAATTTAATTCAACTCAACTCTAATGATAATGGGATGTTTGTTATTGTAATACTTTAAATCAACTCAAGTGTAATAATAATGGGATGTTTGTTATTGTAATACTTTAAATCAACTTAAGTCTAATGATAATGGGATGTTTGTTATTTTAATACTTTCAATCGCATATTCCGCCTAGGCCTTAATAAAGATGCACGTCAATGAAGTAAACACATTCCTTAATCAAAGTGCTTCTTTTTTTCTGGAAAACATACATCTGTTCCAATGATAAACTACACATGTATTGAAACAACCTTTAAACATAGAAAATACAATGAGCATTTGGATTTCGTGGAGCTCCTAGAAGTTTATTTCCAAGCATTGTAACCAGCCCTCGTATTTTCACAGGTCCCTTGAACAGTTTTGGCGAGTCGTTCGACTTCAAGTGCCATGCAGGCGCAGCCATGACAGCCGTACACTACAACTACGACAATGATGCAGAAGACGGCATATTCATGGTCGAGTGCTGTAAGATTACAGGCAAGACGGTGACCAACTGTGAGCGGTGGGAAGAGAATACGTACATGTCCCAGTACATGCTTGCCTCTACAGCGGCTTATAGATATGGATTCCAACACCCAGCGATCAGCGGTTTTTCTTCGAAACCCTTAATAGGTCATAATTATAAAACACGTGAATTCATCCTTGACATGTGCTTTTTAAAATAATTATTATTGAACGCACACAATCTGAATTGTGTGCATGGCAATTTTATTTTTAATTACTAAATCCTAATGAAGCTTGGAAAATGAGACTTTCTCCATTGTAATGAAATACAAATAAATTTCTGAACTATATATCTTGTTTGATCTCTGTTTAATTGAAAGTTTTCAAAATAAAAGTATTGTTGTCATCTTGTGGACCACATTGAACCCAAAACCGAAAAATAAATCCTTGTGTAAAAAGCTTAACGTAAGTTTAACCAAATGATGTAATAGCACGATTCAGGCTTAGTGATGTAAACACACGAAAACTATTTAGTGATGGATGCACACAATTACAGCTTAGTGATGTAAACACACAAATACTACATAGTGATGGATGCACACAATTACAGCTTAGTGATGTAAACACACAAACACTACTTAGTGATGTAAACACACAAATACTACTTAGTGATGTATGCACACAATTACAGCTTAGTGATGTAAACACACGAACACTACTTAGTGATGCAAACACACAAACACTACTTAGTGATGTAAACACACGAACACACCTTGGTGATGTAAACACACGAACACTACTTGGTGATGGATGCACACAATTACAGCTATGTGATGTAAACACACGAACACTACTTAGTGATGTAAAACACACGAACACTACTTAGTGATGTAAACACACAAACACTACTTAGTGATGTAAACACACAATTACTACTTAGTGATGTAAACACACAAACACTACTTAGTGATGGATGCACACAATTACAGCTAAGTGATGTAAACACACGAACACTACTTAGTGATGGATGCACACAATTACAGCTAAGTGATGTAAACACATAAACACTATTTGGTGATGTAAACACACGAACACTACTTGGTGATGGATGAACACAATTACAGATAAGTGATGTAAACACACAAACACTACTTGGTGATGTAAAAACACGAACACTACTTAGTGATGGGTGCACACAATTACAGCTAAGTGATGTAAACACGCGAACACTACTTGGTGATGTAAACACACGAACTCTACTTAGGGATGTAAACACACAAACACTACTTATTGATGTAAACACACGAACACTACTTAGTGATG